ATGAAATCAAGTCTTTTAATGGAAAGTGGGGCAGGTGAAGGGAAAATAGATCCCCGACGCTGGGTGCATTCAAGAATGCAAAACGGAATCCTGTTCCTAAATGTGTAACAGCTCTTCTTAGTAAAGCGCAGGTGAACTGGTGAACTGTTGTGAATGCATCTCACATTAGACAAAGCTGCCCTCTCTCAGCAGCATCACATTTATAATCACCCTAGCCTAGAAAACATATTAAAGCCAGATGTAAAACCTACTTCGCAAACCGTGATTTGATACAAAAGTCAACGGTTCTGAGCAGCTTTGAATTATTTCATAATGCGGGAACTGCTCTGAGGTGAAATTATTCACGGATGGACCTGGTGCCTGTCAGGTGAGACGTCATTTACGACCCGCGGTAAGACTGACGAAGCGGGACCGCCGACAGGATGGTGGAGCGGTCGGACAGAGCACCTCTGCTGGACTGGGAGGAGGTTCCATACGCGCAACCGCCCGACGGTGTAGCACCGGCGACAGCTCACGCAAAGGACCGACTGTCAAGCCCCTCCAACAGCCGTGCTTTATCAACATGCGCTACTCCGCGGTTTGGGTGGAGCACTAGTACAGGGGGTCCTACTCCCAGCAGGTCTGTCTCCAACGTAGACGGCTGCAACGCCGCACGCGCGACCTCCAGCACCCCGACAGACACGGATGAAGGGGTGCTTTCAGACAAGGAAGAGCATCTTTCTGATTCAGGACCGAGGGAAGTGCTGCTGGAAGACAGAATGGTGAAATGGGAGGAAAAGGACCAGATTGTCTCTGTCTTTGTGGTTACATTCAATACCAGATCAGGTGGGATAAAAAATATGAAACATGTTATTAGCCTTGTGATATTACATGAAATACACAATATTCACAAAAAGGAGAAAAGATCATGCGTTTTGTTAGGGGAAACAAATAGATGAAACCTGGGTCCTCTAACCAGTTTCTGTGTCTGTACCAAGTCTGCAGACCCTTCCCCTACAGGTGTGGCTTTTTTCTGACCCGAATTCTATTCTAGTCGTCATTACAAACCAGGTCATTTTCTCGCGTGTAAGTACAGAACAGACATGTCAAAGCCCATGAAAAAGTAGCCAATCAGGTTACAGTCCTACGGGGCCAATCATTCTGAGAATCGCGAGGTTTAACATTAAAAGGTGTTAGCGAAAATTCCCTACTGGGTGGGGCTAGGCACTTTATGATTTTACAGCAGGTCAGACTGGCCATGAGACCAGGAGAGTAGAGAGGACATGGTTGTAATGATGCCTCAATTGGAAGCCAACAAGACAGATTCCATGTAGATCAGCTGAATCAATAGTCTGTACATTTAATACTGTTACCATAGACTTTCAGTCCACAACTACTTTTCTACTAGAGCAAGGATCTCCAGGGTGACTAACAAAAATATACTATTATCCTTAATAATACTTATTTTTGCAAAACATTGCATATTGTAGTTAAATCTAAGCAACTCCTCTGGTACCCCACCATATGTGTGTAACTGAAGAGGGAACCATAATCCTTTATTTAGTATAAAGTGATTTTAATTTTGCAGAATTTAGCACAAACAAAGAAATCCAGTGCAGTCTCACTCAGATGTTAATGATATAGTGAGAATAAATGTCTGCTGTAACGTAACAACAAAATGTATCATGAATGTGGTGCATATGCATGGAGCATGTTATGTTTGTTGAAGGTGTTATTCTAGCAGAAAGTACTTTGGTTCAAAACCTTTGGAACTGGGAACATTGGAACAATATAGTTAGTGTCCTTAGGCCCAGTGTTTCTCATTTTTTTGTTTCTCGTTTGATGGAAAATTTCTGTGTATAGCCTATTCTGTACTAGAGTAGGATTAGGACAAATTTTACATGATGCATCACAGATCAAAGCATCCTGATTTTCCAAAAATATTTAACCTAATTATTTACCTAGTAGCAGCCCTTTAATAATGAGCCATCTGCATGAGAAATGGCTTTCATTGGCACTTAGCACTGCATGATACTTGAAGCATAAAAATTAAAAGTCAATAACAACTGTCAAAGTGGCAATAAAGCATTTTCAGTGTTGAGCCACAAGTGTCATGTAGTCTCAGTGAATGAAACAGACCTGCTGATGGATAAACTCATACTGCTGCAGAAACTACTGACTGATATAGAGTATGTAGCTAATGATTAGACTAAAACCACACTGAGTCACCTTGTGTTTCTCTGCTCCTATCAGATCATGCTTCCTAATTTGCTGCTTGAGTATCAGTGCTTAACTGACACTTAATTCTAAAGAACCCAGCAGGCCTGTGTCATTTTCATGAACAGTTCTGTACCGGAAACAAATTCCTTGTGTGTAACATACTTGGCTAATAAAGGTGATTATCCTTATAAAACATCAAATGGTTACAATACATTATATTTACTGTCTGTTCCAGCATCAGTGTTTGTGTGCATTTTATTATTATTAACCCATCTTGTTGTCTGGGTGTTATAGGAAACATGCTAGAGTGGTGTCTGCCTAAAAACATGGACCTGGAGGGAGTGGAATTCAAAGCCATCGCCAGTGGCTCCCACCGAGTCACCACAGATTTCATGTGAGTGTGTGTATGCATGATCAGTGTTAGGATGCAGCCACATGTCTTTGTGCTGGCAGGACAGACACAAAGTGTTCCCTGGCAAAAAAAAAAAAAAAAAAGGCACAGCCAGCTGAATGTCCCTTTGCTTTTCATGACTCATGGCTTCACCTGTCTCCCTCTCTTGTCCATCCACAGCTACTTCCGGAAAGGCTACTACTTTGGCCTCGCCTGCTTTGCCAACATGGCGGTGGAGAGCACAGTAGAGAGAGGGGCAAGGATGAAGTCGGTAGGGATCCTGTCTCCTTCGTACATCCTGCTCTACCGCTACATGAGCTTCCTAGAACATCAGGTCAGGTAAGAGGAAAATTGTGTTTCTGACAGAGAAATTTAGATGTTTAAATTCAAATTTTATTTGTATAGCGCCAACTCACAACAAAAGTCATCTCAGGACACTTTACAAAATAAGGTCTAGAGTAGACCTTACCATTATCACTATTATTATAGAGAAAAACCCAACAAATCCCCCTTGAGCAAGCACTTGGCTGAAAATGCAGCAGCATAGGGGAGAAGCGTGCGGGTTGTACGTGCATGCTGGTGTGCGAGGACAGATGAGCAGAGCCGGAGAACTCAGGTGGAATGAGTGGAGATGGCTGAGCTCATAGCAGAGAGCAGCATCTGGCGTCGGCATGAGGAGTATTCAGGCTGAAAGCAGGGCATTCAGGCAGCCATAGAAACGAAAACAATCAGAGGTAGAGTTCGTAGAAACTAGGAGAAGAGAAACCCAGGGGAGACGGTGACAAGTAGAATCGAGGAGTAATGAAATAGTCTTACTTGGAAGAGCGAAGATTCTTCATTGTAGCGTGGCCGGAGTATGAGCTAGAAACCTCAGTCTACTGGCAATGAGCGATTGTGCGCCAGTACCTTAAGTACTGGTGTAGGTAATTAGGTAACCCACTGCAGCTGTGTCGTACCTCGGGAGCCACTGATCAGAGGATGCGCCTCAGTTGTGCATACCACGGAAGCCAGGACCTGTAACAGAAAACAAGAAAGGGAGAGAGAAACAAAAAAGGGAGAGAAAGAAGGGGAGAGGGGCAGGTGGCGTCGAGCTGACTGGATAGAGAGCGTGTCTGCCTCCTGAGCTGAGACTGGGAGCTGGTTCCATAGGAGAGGAGCTTGATAGCTAAAGGCTCTGCCTCCCATTGTGCTTCTGTGGACTCTAGGAATCACAAGTAGACCTGTACTCTGAGAGTGAAGTGCTCTGTTGGGATGATAAGGTACTATCAGAATCAGAATCTACTTTATTGGCCAGGTGTGTCAGACACATGAGGAATTTGACTCTGGTACATCGGCTCTCAATGTGTATGTACATATCCCCATGCAAGGGGCAAGTAAACAGTAAACCAGCATAAGGCTGTGTAAGATAACAAAAATAATAAACAGTATTAACCCCCCTGTTATGTTGTAAAGTTAAAAAAAATCTAAAAACATTAGTTAAAAGTAATTTATTTGTATGAAACTTTTTCTGCTTGGCTTAATAGGTGTAATCAACATATAAAATTAAAATGGTTCATTTCACATATTTGCAACCCCTGCATGCTTATATTACAAAGATACTGTTCAGGTCAATTTGACCCTGAACAGAAGGGGTGCTGTTAATTTATCAACATCATTCATAAAAAGAAAAGATTTCAAAATGTAAAATAAAATAACAAAAAAATATGTCATGTAAAAATATATTTTATATGTAGGTCTTTCCAATGTACATTAAAAAAAAGTTTTTATGAAAAACCAGTGCATTATCCTCATTGAACTATAATCTGTGAGAGTTAAAGAACACCATTGCACTAAATAGTGATTGAAATGTTAGTAATGGTAAAATTAACCCAGGAACATCACTGCTGTTCCTGAGAAATGAACATATCAGGTGGGTTAACAAGCAACAACCAGGGCAATTGATGCAAAATAAGCAGTATAAACAGGCAGTAAACAATGCAGACAGACAAAGGAATGCTCACTGAGATGAGATAATAGGAATAAAGAAATAAAAATAGAGTACTTAAAACTAGAGACCTGTACGAATCTGTACAAGGTATATTTACAGGTGTTGCATTGAGGGTTATTGTTCAGTCATATTCTCATTGGTTAAATGTTGATCAGAGTGATGGCCTGGGGGACGAAACTATCCCTGTGCCTGGTTGTCTTGGTGCACAGTGACCTGTAACATCGGCCAAAGGGGAGGAGTTCAAACAGATTGTGTCCAGGGTGTGAGGGGTCTGCAGTGATCCTCTCCGCCCTCCCTTTGACCCTTGAGGTGTACAGGTCCTCCATGGACGACAGGCTTGCACCAGTGACTTTTTCTGCAGTCCTGACTGTCCGCTGTTGGGGACCCAGTTCTTTTCACCGTTAACTCTGAGAGACGAGGCAGTCCAAGTAACTTCAAAACAGTGCTGATTTATTCAATGAACACAGGTAAAAATTAACATTACACGCTCAGGAGTCTTTGCACCTCCAACATGCACGCAGGCAGCTGAAAGATGAAAAGCCCTGAACCATAACAGGGCTATACATTATTTCACTTTGGGCTAGCCCCATACTACGCCGGGACGCCAAACCGTGACGTCTCCCGGTGCCAGCTTTGCAGCTGGCCATAGCAGGAGTCAAAGCATGAAGAAAATCAATGTGTGAATGTCTGTTGATTATGTGGTGTGTAGCAAAAATATTCTGACATGACATCAAGCATAAGAAAACATTATGACTACGACTATGGTTAAACACGTCATAACAATAAGAATAAACATTCTGTCTCCTAACAATAATCAACTTTCTGTCTAGTTATCCTTGAACCTGAACAACCTGGAATACCCTTATGGGAATGACTAAGCATTTAACAGCCTGAGCTAGACATCCTGTCTACACTAAACATTTCTAGTACATAAAGTATCTAACCAATGTCTATCTAACTAAAAATACCTAACACCGCTGAAGTCTGTACTTGTCCTGTTTGGTTGCTGAGCCAAACCAGACAGTAATGGAGGTGCAGAGAACAGACTCAATGATTTCTCTGTAGAACTGTATCAGCAGCTCCTGAGGCAGGGCGAACTTCTTGAGCTGGCGCCGGGAGGAAATCCTCTGCAGTATGGTAAGTGTGGGTAGGGTGGGAGGGCTCTTCCTTAAGTCCACTGTCATCTCCACTGTTTTGAGCATGTTCAGCTCCAGGTTGTTGCGGCTACACCACAGGACCAGCTGCTCAATCTCCCATCTGTAGGCTGACTTGTCACCATCTCAGATGAAACCAATGACCATTGTGTCATCAGCAAACTTTAGGAGCTTGACAGAGGGGTCCTTCGAGATGCAGTCATTGGTGTAGAGTGAAAACAGCAGAGGGGAGAGCACACATCCCTGGGGGGCACCT